TCCATCGTTGCGCCAAACTACAAAATACCGTCCAAAATCTAGGATCAAAAAAGTGTACGAAAATCGTAAATCCGCTGTGTTAGGAGAACTTGATCAAGTTCAAGTTGATACTGTATGTAACTCTGACGACCGATACCTGGTCGTCAAACTCGACAAAGATCGAGTTATATTACAATTACGGAGCAGATTATTTTTTTTTAACAAAAACACTATGAACAACTTATGATTTTATTTCTTGTGTTTATCTGATAAATAAATTGAATTTTAAAAAATGTTATATTAAATTTCGTCGGACACGAAGTGCTCATCATTATTAGAACAGAAATACATTTACGGATAAGCCTCCTATCAGTGCATCTGGTTTTATTTCTATAAGAGTTTACAATGTTTTACAGTCTTCAATTTACTTGTTCATATTTATTTACACTTTTACCGAGTACCCCGGTACTCGATCGGAAAAACGTCCGAGTAACCTAGTATTGAAAAGTGACCAATTTGACATCCCTAATATATAGATAATTTCCAATAAGAGATTCAGACGGCGTGATTTACTAGATACATGTATAAATATTGATGAACGAAGGCGATTTTGATAAATGTCGTACGGCAAAGACCACTTATGCCCAGAAGACATATCTTTTAAAAAATATCGCAGAGGATTTTCTTTTCTCCTATAAGATCTTATATAAGATATAAGAGCATTTTCAGCAGTGTCATCGACCGTGTAAACATTCAATCATCGACGCACATATATTGTAAACGATTCTTGTAAAATGTTTTATGCGTCGTATTGAAACACAACACACTTCTTCTGAAAGAATACCAGGGAAGTTATGTACATGAATAAATAAAAGAAACATGTGAACTCATCATGCTTATGGGAATACATTTGAAAAATGGTTTTTTTTAATCACATGGACATGAACATAGATGTTTCACTCCAGCATAGATCATAAAGCGACGGAAAGTTATTTCAATCAATGATTATTTTTGAATCAAAACAGTAGATCTGTAGTTTTGACGTCAATTGTGTCATTATGACGTCACAATGGAGATAGCGCTCATCCATGTACAGGAGAAAATGAAGTGTACTTACTTGAAAAGAATCGGAATGAAAAACATTTGTAAATGTGAATATTTAGATTTACTATAATTTGGCCAATAAGATAATTTATGGATGAACACATTTATTTAAAAAAATATACAAATATGAATGCAGTTACAAGTACAATGTAAAATAACCTCTTTTCATTCAATGTGTTCGAATGTCTGACCCCCCCCCCCCCCCCCGATTCCAGGTCACTAAGAAGAAACATCGGTGAGTGTTCAAAGCATGAAGAATAAGGCCTTTGAGGATTGTGCACTGGTTTATAATATATTATTTATCTATACTGATATAGTAACAAAATAAATGTTTTGGAGATGAAAAAATGAGTTTGAAAAAAAAAGTTATTTTCGTGACCACTGTCGGTGATTAGTAAATCATTGTGCTTCACATATAAAATGAGCATCAGCTGCCAGATTTTCAGAGAAAAAGAGTTTATTTATCTATACATATGGCCTTTATTGTCTTTAAACAGACTATGCTTATTTAAGGTCCAACAACAAACCATCATATGTGAAATTTTTTTATCTAGGAATGGGGGGGGGGGGTACTGAAAGCGTGTAGCTTCAAAATTAATCTGATTACCTTACTTCATATTTTAACCATAAGTCACTTATAATGACTAGTACAGCATATATTAGTTTTGGGAAAATTCATTGGGTAATTTTTTGTCTAGACGTTAAAAACTGCTATTGAGGTGAAAATATTACTGCAAATTTACAATTGATACTTCCCCAAAAAACAATGGCATTACTACATTTATCCATAGTTTCCGAAACAATTTTTATTTTCAATAAATATAAAGCATATTATTAAATATCTGCAGGAAAATATTTAATTTGCTTCAATTTTGTTGCGTGTATGGCATTATAAAACATTCACCTCATAAATATCAAAAGATTAAAAAATGATGGTTACCATGGCAACTAAGCCTGATGACCATGCTTGATACTTTAATATAATGGTATCATTGACATTAGGAACGTTATATGTAAAAATGAGAAAAATTCATTGGGCAGAATTTTTTCACGGACCCGTGCAAACCTTTCCTTAATCTTCTTTTCATAAAAAAACATATTACCCCTACCTAATAAAAAAACAGGTACACATCGGCGCCATCTTGGTTTTTTTTTTGTAGGTCGGTCACATCAGCTTGTATTTACGTCTGAAACTCCCTGAAATAATTTCCCTGCAACCATATTCTTTGTGTGTCCAGTCTTTCGAGGTCTCAACCTATGGACATTGCAATGAGAACGGCGGATCACACTGGTTAAAGTAAAGATAAAACTTTAATTTGAGAAACTCAAAGCCAAAAGAAAGCGTCAGGAAAGCATCAGTAAGCTGCAGAAAGACACAAAAATATGCAAAGGACTCCAGCTGGACATAAAAAATAGGTGCAGTCTGAGGAGAAAACAGAACAACGTAAAATGGACCCTTATGAAGGAGGTCTTTAACATATTTTAGAAAGCTGTATGATAATTTCTATATTTATCAAAGAATGATAATAAGAGCACCGATATACATGGGGATAGTTTTATTCCTTGTGTCCAAAACCTCAAGAAGTACTCATATCAAAATAAATTATATATCTTTCTTAATATTACATGTACATGTATTATTATATTTGTCGGGAGAATTTTTCCTAAGAAAAGATTTATTTGTTCATACCTTTCAAAAATAAGAACTCTGCGCTAAATATACTTAGTCCACATATCGAATTTGATTTTTATGGATATTCTATAGGTATATAGTTCTACACGCATTGTTCATCCATTATTATTTTCTTATTATTATTTTTTTTTTTTGATTTTGCTGGAATCTCCAAACATACAAAAAATATATACGCTTAAATACAAAATAATTTTATTTTAAATTCAAATCTTTAAAATTGGATGAATAATGTTAATTAGTTGCGATCGTCAGTTGACGTGACTTAGCTGCAATAATGTAGCCCCCCTTCTTTGGAGAGCTTCTCTAGAAAATGTCAGATAAAATAATCAGAGAGTGTACTCATCATAGCAGTTAGACGTGGTTGACCTAGCTTAGCGTGCATTTCATTGCTGGTCCTTTCAGGGTTCAAACCAACTCCAAATTTAGAATTAATCTTTGTAAGTAACCAAGAGTGGAGTAATTTTTTCTAAATACAGAAGATAAAGTGAAATGATTGAGCCTGTGCCATAAAAATAATATTCAGTTATTGAGATACATGCAATTTGCACATCTGTATTTATAAGGCATTAGAATTCAATAATGTGACAAATATTTCTATTTTAGATAAAATAGTTTTAAATGACAGTTATACAACCGATAAATTGATTATTTAGAACAAAAAACAAAACAAAATAGTCGGTGAACAAAATAACTTGTAAATTGTTTTTGAGGCTTAATTAAAGTCTAACATATATACATTATATGTACATACTGTACATGTTTAACAATTTTACCATCTCAAGTCTCCTCTCTCTCTCCCCTCTCTATCAAAAAGGTTCCTCTCGAAATTTTTCCCCTCACTGAAGACGCCAAAAACTTGATGAAGAGCTGCAAATTTATACATATACTCAGCACTCAGGACCATTGAGTAGTACGGGCTCGGCACATACGGCCATTGAGCAATGAGGTCTCAACACTCAGTGCCATTGAGCAGTGAGAACTCGTTAATCAGGGTCATTGGGCAGTGAGGCCTCGACACTCAGTACATGTACCAATGAGCGGTGAGGCCTCGTTATTACTCAGTGCCATTGAGAACTGAGGCCTCGTTACTCAGGGCCATTGAATAGCCATTGCGCAGTGAGGTCTCGACACTCAGTGCCATTGAGCAGTGAGAACTCGTAAATCAGGGTCATTGCGCAGTGAGGCCTCGACACTCAGTACATGTACCAATGAGCGGTGAGGCCTCGTTATTTCTCAGTGCCATTGAGAACTGAGGCCTCGTTACTTAGGGCCATTGAGAACTGAGGCCTCGTTACTCAGGGCCATTGAGAACTGAGGCCTCGTTACTCAGGGCCATTGAATAGCCATTGCGCAGTGAGGTCTCGACACTCAGTGCCATTGAGCAGTGAGGCCTCTTTACTCATGGTCATTGAGCAGTGAGGCCTCGTTACTCATGGTCATTGAGCAGTGAGGCCTCGTTACTCAGGGCCATTGAGCAGTGAGGGCTCGTCACTCAGGGCCATTGAGCAGAGAGGGCTCGTTACTCAGGCCGGGTTTGTGAGCAGTGAAGTCCCTTTACTCAGGGCCATTGAGGAGTGAGGGATTTCTTCGTACCTATAGTAGTCTTTCGTAAAATTAAAATTATTCTACATAAACCGACGCCATTTTACATTGAACTTAAAAGAACATCATTTGGCTCCTGGGTAAAAAAAAAACTTAGATGACCTCATCTTTTTTTTTTTTTTATCTCAATCTCACTTTTCCACCGTTAATTCCTTTGTACAGAGACAGAGATCAAAAGTGAATTAGTCTAAGTTTTATGGCCCTAGAGCCTGGCACAAAAAAGAAGAGGCTTAAGAATACATGTAAATACTTTTTGCTGTTAAACGCACGTATTGCACTATTTAAAAAAAGCGAGAGCACAGAGGACAAAAAAGTGAATGCAATTAGCGGAGACCAGAAAAAAATTAACGTAAAAATAAGAGTTTGGATAACCAGGATTGTCAGCATCTCGGGAGCTCTGGTGAAAATGAAAACGATCCCTCACATTGATTCCGCATCTCTTCAGGTATATAACTATTTTTCGGTGCGAAAATCCAATATTGTCATCGCATACCTGAAACCATTTACATCAACGACAGAAGCCCAAGAATTCATAATCTCTTATTTTGCTGTTTGAAAAAAAATCTTTTGGGGGAAACGTCGCAAGGATTAATTCTGTTAATTGATTTGTCAAGTAGTTTTATTTCTGGTAACTTGGAGATGACTTACCATGGAACAGCTAAACTGTGAAAATCTAAGTTGACATTAAATAGAGAAATTGTCCAGGTAGTTGTTATCTGTGATTCTGGCAGCGATCGATTTTATATTGTTATTATCATCTGTCGACTAGCACGGCTAGCCGGGGGCGCGGTCGCCATTGTTTGACATCTCTCTGTATTATAGACAACCCAAGGTACCACAACCTTACGAGGTAAGTAAAATTTATATCGAAAAATGAATCTTTTTTCATATTTCTATTGTATAATGTTTTGGTCTGGTTGACTTTTTGACGTATTTGCCATTTGGACTTCATTTTAGGTTACCATAAATTAGAATTGTTTATTTATGATTGAATGCATTGTTTATTGTCAACAATGGACTATAAATTTATTCAGTATTCCACCTGCCACACCTTTGATTGTTTTACTAAATCGTGCTGGATTTTGAAATAAGGTGTTCATGTTTTTGTTGTTATTATCATTTCTTATAAATACAATGTCCTTGTCTATAAAAAAAAACAAACATAATTTGAAATGAAGATATTATTTTTTCTTAAATAATGAAACTTTTAAAGCTGAGAAATATACACGGTACGTATACGTAATTTTTTGAATGGTAATTTTTTTTTAAATTTAGATTTATATATAAATTAAAAGTTTTTGATATTGTTCCTCAATTCAAGGAATAAAAACATTTCTCTGCAAGCAGAATCGAGTTTGTCGTAATGTATAGTTAACATAAAGGTATGGACCCCCCTTCCCTCTTCATTCCAAAAGGCTAGCTCTAAAAATACAACTAAATAATAAGGCGTTTAATAGTAAAATGAAATAAAAACCTTGGTAATAAGTGAATGTAAATCTGCAGCATGGTTTTTTTCTCTTAAAAAAATGACTATCAAATAAAAAATATAAATTAAAAAACACAAGAGAACTAAAGGGAAGGATTCTTGGTTCGAATTGTCGTAAAAGTACAGCAAGCATTAGGAAATCTTATTCCTTTTAATTAAATATTTCCCGGTGCAAAAATGGCATTTCTTTAAAATAATTACCTGTGCACATTTTGTCTAATCGATCTACAAATGAGAAGAAAAAAATCCTACTTCTGCAAGCAAGATAGGTATAAAATTAATTTGGCCTAACTATGCATATGAATGTAATTTATCTGTAGCGTGCACATTTTACTTAAATTGACGATACCTTTATTATTGGTAGACACTAAAATCGATTTAATAATGTATATAAATAAGCTATTTATTATATCAAAGCATTGGTTTGCGTGTTATCAGTAAGGTTATTTTTCATTATCAGAATACTGTAATTTATCTTTAATGATAATCATGGTTCTGTTTCGCGCAGATTTTTTCCTCAATTATTTTTACATGTATAATCCTATATCATAAAATTCTTATAAAAAATTCAATCAATATGGATGTTATAATCACGAAGAAGAATGATATAATTTCTCTCTTCTTCATTAATTGCGTTCTTAATGTATTTTAGTTTATCATTTCTGAAGCATAAACAGGGCATATAATGCGATATATGAATCAATGTTGACTAATACGGCTCACAACGTAATAAAAATTGTAAACAGCAATAAATGAGAGAGAGAGAGAGAGAGAGAGAGAGAGAGAGAGAGAAATTATGCCCCGATATTCTCAGTGTACGATATTTGTTTGATTATATTGTTATTAAATTTCTTTAAAAATATTAGCATTTAAACGTTTTCAAAAACTAATAATAGCATTCACGAATTTCCAAAAATGATGTGCAAATAGCATTACTGCAGGTTATTAAATTTCTTTAAAAATATCGAGGACCAGTGCAAACATGACTGCAGGTATATTGCTAAAAAATCTGCACGAAATGCAGACATATCAAATATAATGATATTTTCCCAATCTTTTAAATGTTTTAAAATGTTAACGTGTTTTCTTTTTCTACATTTTCGTAAACATTTATAACTGTCATTAATTTTTTATTATGAATTTAAAATCTGATTTGCAAGAGCTCAACACAGAAAGCATAGAAGATCTGGAATTTCTGTTTCAATTTTGACGTGTTACCTTGATCAAACAAGGATTACAGCAATACTTTAGATTTTCGTAACAATGTTTGCTATTTAATTCACAATTTACAATTCGCGAGACATTTTCTACGCTAGACCGGAAAAATTCGAAAACGCGCCAAATGATCGCTCTTCAGCAAGCGTATTGTTCATTTTACAAAGTTTGCTTTTCCGATTTTTGCACATTTTACATCAACATTCGCCTTAATTAATTCTTGGATTAACTTGAGCTACATGTTGCCTTGATGTTCTCCGACAGATGGTCGGATCAATTACTGTAAGTGCTCAGAATTACCCGCTATCAATGCACCGCGTTTCATTTCCGGAATGACAAGCAAACGATATTTAAATCCGTGTAGACCCGGAATTCTAGTTCCTTTGAATTTCTACTGACAGCTGAGGCATTTTAAGGAGGCTGGCGGGTCAACAATTCAATTCCAAATTAACCACCAGATTTAACTTATTTTTTTAGATACGGTATATTTAGCTGTCAACTATCATTTGGCAAAGAAAAAATTCATATACTTTAGTTTTAAAATTTTATTTTATATAGATCATTTTTGTTGCATTTTGTATATATGATCTTTATATAGTCATAAACGCTCTCCTTTTATTTGAAGGAGAAAATTGAAATGTAGTAATTAAAAAAAAAAATGTTAAAAATGCATGCCAAGCAAAATGGATTACCCATAGCCTCGTTAAAAGCGATATTGCTACAACAAATCTTTAATTTGTAAAAAGGTATATTTCCATTGGAAATCCTTTATCACAACTTCAAAAATGATAGTATTTTTCAAAGATTTTTGTTGTGTTCCCTTCAATGTTCATCAAATTGTGTGAATAAAATTGGACAGTATATGCAATGTTTATGGTGCATTTGTTATTATTCAAAATTCATTACATTATATTTTATATAATCATGAAATGGTATTATATATTATGTGTACAAAAGCGGTGAGATCATTTTTTTAACTGCGCATGTTGAAAAAAAAATCATCAAAATCTCCAGCACGTGACAGGAAGATACGGAAATAGTCGTCACGTGAACAGTCCGGAGGCACATGATCAAAAATATTTAAGGAAAAAAAAATAAAACCTGAAGGGGGCCGACTGTGGTTTCATTGAGTAAAAACTACAAAAGCGAAACTCTTCATTTTTATACCATATATAGCTTACATTAACATCAGTGTACATGCAAAGTTTGGGGGAAATCTACCGTCCAGGATCGTCTTAAAATACAGGTGCATTTACTATAGCAAGATTCTATAAGTTTATAACTATCATATGCCATGTGCATTTTCCTGTTATACATTCAATACCGCCTTGCACAGACACTTGGGTAAATTCGAACACCCCCCAAAACATCATCATTTTTGATTATCGTAATCTTGTAAAGGTTCAACGAAAAAATACATCCGATTTTGGACAAATTCTGTATTTGCTACTCAGGTGTTTATCGACAAAGGCACATTAAATGCCTATGCTTTCATATATGCTAGACTAGAGACTAGATTGCATGTTGGTTGCTTATGAAACAACCAATATCAGAAAAAAGCACAGCCTGATCTCATTTCAATTAATCACCAAAGAATAAGAGATGGTTTGAAGCTAGATTTCCTTCTGAGTTCAAAGACGGGAATTAATTTGAAAATTGTAACCAGATTTTTCTGCTAAGCTTATTATTTGCAAGCATAGGTTTGTGGACTGTCGCTGTTTACTAGTATTTTGAAAAGAAAACCGTTTTTGTTTAATTGATATACTGCAAGCAGAACAAGGAAATTCAAAAAGTTTTAACTTTAAAACAAGAAGTTTGAGAATTTTCAAACTATCGATCGTTTATATTTCATTAAGACATCTTCTTCCTACATGTATGCATTACTATAATTATTATTATTTTGGGTGTATACACTGATTGAGAAACTAATCGAAAATGCACGTATTTTTTCGTTGGAGAAAATCAATTGTCATCTAATATCACCAGAATAAATGAATCTTAGATTGTACAGCATAAAGGTGAATATATATTATTTTCGACCTCATATACAATAGTTTGGTTTGATGGCCTTGATTTACCAAAAAATAAGAACAAACATTCTGAGAGCATTACTTAAGCAATGCATGTCCCATACCGGGATCCCCTTTTCTCTTATGACACAAGCTCGTTTGGAACATTGATTTAGTGCAACATGAACCCGATCGTAATCCTAATTAGAAAAAAAAGTATTAAAATGTCATTTTTCCTCGCTAAAAATCATTGGAGCGGAACGAAATCCAAACTTGATCTTTAACTCATCAAGATATATATACTGACATACCAAAGATCAGCTCAATATATCAGCAAGCCTTTAGGAAAAAAGTGTGGAAAACCAAGTAAGACAGACAGAAGGACAAACGTAAGGACGGACGGACAGATACAGCTAGAGAGACAGACAGACAGACGGACGGACTGACAGACTCAGAGAGGAAACTTTTAGTCCCCTCCAGTTTCACCGGTAGAGAACTATAAAATCGTGTTTTACAGCTAAACTTTTTTTGCCAAGTATATTTTTAGTTTCTACATACAGAGCTTAATTAAAATTCAAATCAAACCAGAAGTCTCTGTCGAGACTGAAGCTCCTGGTTTGAACTTATAGCAAAGGAAGAGAAAAGTACTTAAGCAGCTGGGATTTGAAACTAAATAGAATAATGATCGTTGATAAAGTCTCTTTAAGTTCTTAGGGTAGTCTACTTGTGTGCCAAGTTATACTGAAATCAGACCAAAACTGTAGGAGGAGTAGCATTTTGAAACAATTTTACAGACATTTCTTTTTTTAGTAACCACGGCAACACCGTTCATCAAAATTAAAATTCGATACAAAGAATTATGTATCTTAGTGTATTCTACTTATGTGCCAAGTAATACTGAAATCAGACCAAAACTGTAGGAGGAGTAGCATTTTGAAAGAATTTCACAGAAATTTCTATTTTTAGTAACCACGGCAACACCGTTCATCGAAATCAAAAACCGATACACAGAATTATGTATCTTAGTGTAGTCTACTTGTGTGCCAAGTTATAATGAAATCAGACCAAAACTGTAGGAGGAGTAGCATTTTGACAGAATTTCACAGAAATTTCTATTTTTAGTGACCACGGCAACACCGTTCATCAAAATCAAAAACCGATATATAGAATTATGTATCTTAGTGTAGTCTACTTGTGTGCCAAGTTATACTGAAATCAGACCAAAACTGTAGAAGGAGTAGTGTTTTGAAAGAATTTCACAGAAATTTCTATTTTTAGTAACCACGGCAACACCGTTCATCGAAATCAAAAACCGATAAACAGAATTATGTATCTTAGTGTAGTCTACTTGTGTGCCAAGGTATATTGAAATTAGACCAAAACTGTAGGAGGAGTAGCATTTTGAAAAATTGTTTACAGACAGACGGACAGCTAGACAGACAGACGGACAGACGGACGGACGCCGGACACATTACTATCGCATAAGCTCTTCTGGTCTCTGACCAGTAGAGCTAAAAATGGGGGTCAATACGCTTCTTTTGGCGCTACAGTACATTTAATATGACCTTTTTGCAGTGAAATTTGTGTCTTAATTAAAAATTATTTTTTTGACGTTTTCCCTCCAATATTTTTATCCAATTAAAGCATGAAACAAAATGAACTCTAAGTTTGTTTTAAAAAGACACTAAAAATTGTGACTAAGAAAAAGTTTTAAATTGCTTCGCATAATCAATTATTTGACCTTTCTGCACTAATAAACTAAGTTATTTTTGTGCAGCCAGCCTGGCTGAGGATGGAAAAATAGGAATCCAAAATTAACAATACTGTTATGGTTCAAAATGGAAAAACTGATCATTTTTGTCTAAAAAACTTTGCGCCACAAAATATAGCTCCTATCTTAATTCTACTTGGATGGAATTTAATCGCTGTTTTTTCATTGAATATAGTTAAATTTGCAACTTAAAACTCAGATTTAAACTTAAAAATGATGCAGAATTTTATAATTAAGGGAACTGGCCAAATTACACTCAAAATCTCAGGATCGAACGTCCTAGGGAGGGTTCTGTAAAGGGTTGAACATATGCATCTCATAAAACTACAAAATATATACATTTTTGAAAGAATTTTTTAAATTTTGAATTACTACCAATGCTCATCAGCATGGTATGAAAGGATAGGGTATATGGTAACAACCGAGTCTGTCATCTTATTTTATGTAGAAATCACAACACTGTTCAGAATATGATAGTTGGAAGTTTAGATCTTAAAATGGTGCTTGTTTTAAAAGAAACTCTAATTTTAATTCAAATCTTACACGGACGCCACAAGAGGGTGCCAAAAATATGTAGGACATTATCCCAAAAATCGTCAATTCTGGTGGAATTTCGTGATATTTGAGATACTTTTCTCTTTGGAAAACATAAAGCACAAGTTGGCCTATATAAGACTTTTATACATAAGATCTGCTAGATAATATGTTATGTCGCCATAGATTGTTACTGAAATTCTGATCTATGGACGATCAGAATCAGATGACTTGACTCAGGTGAGCACAGTCGTATTTATTGTGATTACTGGATTTATGGGATAGAAAAGAGCACTGACCTCTAATATTAACTTTTAGCGGGTCAGACTCTTTCTCATACATTACGATCTTGTTGGCTGAAGGCAGAATGGCTTAGCATAACATCGATCATCCAGGATGATGCTGATCAGGCTTATAGGGCTAATCTCGTAATGTTTTATGTAGCCAATTATCATTCTAGACAATAAATCAAACGGAATGTTCTAGTCATACTCATTAGCGTTGATCAATTTCATTATGCCCCCATAAGCAAAGATTCGGGGGTTTGTATTTTTGCTCTGTCCTTCTTTCTGTCCGTCTGTCTTTTTGTCCGCAAAAACTTAACTTTGTACATGTACATAATATTCGTACTTCACAGTTGTGTCCTTGTGACAAAAGTCTTCTTTTGGTACCACCAAATTTGACCTGTTGACCTTGGAGTTTGACCAAGTTTTACCAAACATTTCCGAGCTTTAACCATGGCCGTAACTTCTAAGTTGTTGGAACTAGGGCTTTCGTACCTAAAATGTCTATTGACTGTGACAAGTCATTTTATTGATATAAAAATATTTGACCTTTTGGCCTTCACTTTTGAATGTGGCCTACTTTTAAAATACTTTTACCAAGATTATAACTTTTGAACTGATTGAACTAGGGCTCAAATATTTCATAAATGTATTAATTTCTTTTCACAAGAACCTCCTATTTTATGACAATAATTTTGACCTTGAGGGTTACCTTGTATTGAACGATTTCAATACTCGCCAGAAGTTGTCAAAGGGAGGAATCAGAATAAAATTAATAAGACAAATACTATTTAATACAGTCATGAATAGTAGATTGTGCATATACTACATAATCATATATTAAATGAACATGTATATTATCTTTGAGAAGACTTTCCCAAATACAAATATTTTTGTCCCCATGACCATGAGCTTCATGTTTTGCTTAACTTTCATCAACGCTCCTAGCGGCTCCCATACACTAAGGCACCGAAGGCGGTGAATTATAATTCTTTGGATTTACTCGACTGTGTAATTTTGATTAAGAAAATCTGTTTTGAAATAATTAACAAACAATATGTCTACAATTTCTTTTTTTATTTGCAGATGTTTTTATCATGTCGACAGATGGACGTATGCGGCTGAATGAGTTACCGGAAGTTACGTCATTTTCCATTTCTGCTCAGTCATCATCAATTTCCAACAGGAAGTCGTCTGAAATATTCAACACAATCCCAGACTCACCCCACAACAGCAAAACACCAACAGAACAAAAACGAGAACGGTTTGCTTCCCGCCGACCTAGATCTTTGAAAGATATTTTCTTTCGATCAAAGAACCCTGAAAAGAATAGTTCCCTTGAAAAAGGAACCAGCGACACAAAGTCGAAATTTTCGAATATTGTCTCCAAACATATTTTACCGTTCAAATTTGTCAGAAATCTAAGGACAGAACTAACCAAACCTGAACGCACCGATACTACTTCTTGTCCAAATCTTGCTAAAAGAAACTCGACAGAAACCCTATCAGAAAAGCCCGAGGAAACTATTGTAGCACCCTTCAAAAACACCCCTGATCAGGAAAGTCCAGAAGAGACTAAGATTGGTCCATTCCCGGCATCTCAATCGTTCCCCAAAAGTGATTACGATAGACCACTATACAAGTCTTTCCAAGACCGAAATCCTTTGCGCGTACAGCATCTTGCCATACCAAAGCAAAACAGTGATTCCTGTACAAACAAAGGAAACTCCCCAGTGGCAGACATATTTACGACATCTTACACCCACTCCACGTCCCCAAAGATAGTCCATTCCCTGTCTAAACTACAGTGCAAAAGTGCCCAAGAGCTGCCAAAAAGTCCAGTTGTTGCCATTAAGCAAAGATTAATTCGTAGCTATTCGGACACCCCTCCGCGTTTATCCGTAAAATCACAAGGAAGTACCGCTTCGTTGAAAATTCCTACGTGTCTCCAATCGAGGATGTATCGAGACGACTGTGTGTCTCAGGTTCTGGATTATCTCTTTATAGGGAGTATCGAGGTACCGTACAATGAACCCAAACTGTGTCGCCTCAAGATCGATTCGCTGGTCGACATCAGCAATTTATCCTCTGCTCAAGTGCCTTCCTCCAAGAAGCTCCACTGTCCATGTCTCTGTGGACATGATAGTCGTCACTTCCGGTCGAGGTTGATCATTCGAGTCGAAGATGACGACAAGGAAGATATTGAACAATATTTCTCGGAAATTAATAAATTTATCGACGGTGCTAGAAAATGTGGGAAAAACGTTTTAATTTTTAGTTACCATGGAAACTCCCGCGCACCTGCTGCAGCGATTCAGTATCTGATGAGCCATGAAGGATTCCTCTTACGACAAGCTTATAACCTTGTGAAAAATCAGCGGCCATCCGTCGATATAAATCAAAGATTTCAAAACTCTCTGGAAGCTTTGGAACGCAGACTTTTTCCTGAGGCCAAGCCCTCTCTCCCTTTCAGCAATGACTACCTAAACATTGCCGATCCTCAGGCGATCAAGTGCGCATGGGTAGACTGTTCGGACATGTGATTCTGCTTCTTAATTTGTAGATTAACGTCCATTTTTTTATTGCTCTGCTTATTGATTAGAGTTCTTTGTTTTTTTAATGGAATTCTTCTTCGCCTAAAAACTTTCATTCAAACAAGACTATGGATCTTCTGCTGGGTATTAGACAGTCAGGATTTATTCCATCAGCTGGTTTAATATTGTTTGCTGATGACAACACCATCAAAAGAAATCGTGACAAACCTCGTCATGAAGACTGTCATCCGATATGTCTCGATGCTTTTTTTATTTCTTGATTAAAAAAAAGATTTCACACTGTGCACGGTGTAAAAACGGGAAAATACCGATACGAAATAGACAAGATTTTATTTACATTGTATACTTGTGCTATGTCCGTGTTATTTTCACATAGTTTTTTAAAAATACATTTCCTGTTTGTGACATATGCATCATAAAATTTCTCTTTTTGATTGATTGCAAATCTCTCATATATAATGCAAAAAATTAATCTTGTACTTAAATTTGCGTTAATACTAACGTGTTTTTAAACAAGTTTTATTGTTTCTCAGACTATAAAAAGTCAAACCCTTCTGCAGTCAAGTTTACAAGATGCATTCATCAGTTAAAATCACTTATCACATAGTACATGTATTGAATAGCAACATTTATTTCTCAGTGGATCGACTACAGAATTCCATCTCATTTCCTATAATTTCATCGTCGAAAACCACGGCCAAAATGTACGATTCTCTCTCTTTCTGATAGGAGAGAGCTATATGCGGACTCCGGGCCGTGGTTTGAGACAATGGTACTTGTTTAACCTATGCCTAAGCATTTTCTATGACATAATGACAACCAAAATATAGCTAAGAGGTCAGATGATAATGACAGTATAAACCAAAATTTTAATATCATGATATAATGGCATGGAGATATTTTTTTTTATGTTCCTATCAAGTTTCTATAATCAGAAAATATTAGTTTCCAGGTTTTGATTTATTTCTTAACATTTTTTTAATCTAAAGTGTACTTTAAATCACGTACTCTGATGATCGATGACTGGTCCTTTATACGTCTACGACAGATTAATCAAGTTTCCACCAGATTTTCGGTACAAATTATAATCCTTGCATCAACATGATCAATATCCAATGAATTAGCAATTTTCTTCAAACTAATTAGCCGTTATACGGTACGCGAGTCAACCACAGCAGACGATATTTGTCGAATGAAAATTTGCTTCAGACATCCGCCATGCCAACGAGGAATTTGCCTTTTCTTAAACGCGATCGGAAATGGACTTCACCTCATATTAATTAAATAAAATAGTTGGAACATTTTTTGTCCTTTCCGTCATGCAGTTAAAATAAAGCCGACGGAAAAAGGAAACACGGAATCAGAATATTTCTCTTTGAGAAGACTAATTTTGAAAGCAGTAACGGTAACAGTATTCCGTATTTCATAAGGTAAAAGCTATCAGATATCTGGAAGAGTGAAAGTTTCATTTTTTCAATTTGATCTTTTGCACGACCAAAGATACGCCGTGTATTCGAAAGAGATGAATGGTGTCAAGGATCTACTATGGAAGCTGAGGTCTGTAGCTTGCTAGTCCCAGTGTATGTGTTTATTGCAATCTAGTAAAAATCAGATCTATTGATCCGCTCACATAGATCAACACACGCGAGCGGATCAAATTATCTGCTTTTAAAATCAGATTGAAAAATTCTCTATCCTGGTTCCAATTGACAATGTCAAGATTTCTGCTACGTAGGAAATTCACTTGTTCTTTAATACCGCACCAATGAAAAAGGGACTCTTTGTTGGCTCTAGATATCACTATTTTCACATTGCATTGTACAAGATAAATGTGAAAGAACATTATTACACATCTACAAGTGTCAAAGTACTATGAATGATCATATAGATAAGATACCAAACTCACTGACCTGTGTTTATGACGATTAAGGTGTAAGTATATAACTATGTGGTTCCTGACTTTGTTAATTCTCCACTGTTTAGGTAGGTTTTAGATTATATAGCACTCGCTACTGGTATTTAGTTTTCCTTATATACATATATATACAATATTGACATCATCGCTTAACATTTGTATCTTCAATGATGAACATGTATCGCTGGAATCAGTGTATAGTACACATTTCTTAAGGAGTCCTCGAAATATCCAAGACTGAATGACACGTGCAGTACTTTGAAGCATGTTACATTATCCATAGCTTTTATATTATCCATAATTTTCATTAAATTTCATTTTTTTCCTTTTCCCAAACTTAATTAGATTATTATATTTTCTAAATAGTTTAAAGTCTCTAATAACACAACAGAAAGCTTTGAACAAAAAAAAGTGGGTTTTTTTGTATTAAGTGTATACTGTACCTACGTGTAAAATGTTCTGCATGCTTATATGTATCTCTATGGTCAGTAAATAGGACCATTTTCAGTTTAGTTTGGACTTTCAGTAAGGCGTGGCATTCCCTAAGTTACCTAATTATCATCTAAAATTTACAATTTCCTTCACTGTTGAAATAAACATATAGGATAGAAATTCGGTCGAATGTCAACTGATGTAGTAAATAGCCAATTAAATGTTCTCTCTCGGCACAGAGGTGGGGCATAAGTCGTTCCATCGTTATCAACAAGAATGTAAAGTCCTTGATGTTATTAAGACAAATCTTTGTCAAATTTCCAGCATGACACATGAATCAGTGAATACTTAGTTACCAGGTGACATGTACATGTTTTCAACTACCCTATATACTCACCTATAAGTCGTTTTTTTTAAAGTCAATCTTTGGTCAAAAACTCTTGGTCTGACTTATAGGCGATTTATAAAAAGATTGGTATTTACTTGATTCAATCCCTCTAATACACGTATAAGCTTAAAAACACACCGACTTATAGGCGAGTAATCAGGAAGACGACCAATGAAAACAATTGATGAAAAAGAACGAACTCAAGGATAGCTCAGAATCTTATGACAGATAAAGGCTGAAAAGACACTTTCTCTATATTTTCAGGGATTTCCATTGGTGTTGAGTACAGCGGATGTCCAGCCCTTGTGCGTGAGTTTCCCAGGATTTGTGAAGATTTACACTACTCCAAATATTGTCCCGACAGCTGCAGGTCTCATCAATGTAAGATACACCTTAATTCAATATTGTCCCGACACTGCAGATCTCATCAGTGTAAGACGAACACTATATTCAATATTGCCCCGACAGCTCCAGGTTCTGTTAATGTACGATTTACATTGCTCTAAGTATTGCCCCGACAACTGTAGGTCCCGTAAAAGTAATATTTACTTAACTCTAAATATTGCCCCGACAGTTGCATGTCACATCAATGTAAGATTTAAATTGCTCTTAACATTGCCCTGGCGGTTGCAGATCCCATCAATGTAAGATTTGCATTGCTGTAAGTATTGCCCCGATAGTTGCAGATCCTATCAATGTAAGATTTACATTGTTCTTTGTATTGACCCGACAATTGCAGATTTCATCAATATTAAATTAAAACTGCCCTATATATTGCCCCGAAAGCTGCAGATCCTACCATTGTAAAGATTTACTCTACTTTAGATATTGCCCCGACAGCTACAGATCCTATGAATGTCAGATTCACACTACTCTAAATATTTTGCCCCGACAGATGCAGAACCCATCAATGTAAGATTTACACTACTCTAAATATATTGCCCCGACAGATGCAGAACCCATCAATGTAAGATTTACACTACTCTAAATACATTGCCCCGACAGATGCAGAACCCATCAATGTAAGATTTACACTACTCTAAATGTATTGCCCCGACAGATGCAGATCCCATCAATGTAAGATTTACACTACTCTAAATATATTGCCCCGACAGATGCAGATCCCATCAATGTAAGATTTACACTACTCTAAATATATTGCCCCGACAGATGCAGAACCCATCAATGTAAGATTTACACTACTCTAAATATATTGCCCCGACAGATGCAGATCCCATCAATGTAAGATTTACACTACTCTATGCATAGCCTCAACAGCTGTATTCCCCATCAATGCAAGATTGACTATCACTGAAGTATTATAACGATAACTATTTGTCCCACTAGAGTAATATTTTTCATTTAGTGTTAGTGTTGCTCCGAATGCTGGCGATCCAATATGTGATTTACCCTACTGTAAGTGTTGCCCCGACAGCTGCACGCTGATCGCATTAGTGTTAGATTTACACTACTATACGTACATGTATTGCCCCAACAACTGGCAATTTTATCAGTGTAAGATTGACACTCCAGGAAGCTGTGTACCCAATTAGTGAAAAAATTACGCTACTCTCAGTATTGCCCCCGACAGCTTCAGATCCTGTTAGTGTATGATTTTCACTATCAAAGTATTATAAACAACCATAGATCCTACTACTGTGATTTACAAACATTCAGTATTGATACTAAAGCCGAGGATCCAACAAGCATGACTTTTTTGTAAAAACAAATTTAAGATCCTATCAGAGTTAGATCTTTGTCACTCAACGTTGCATTTTCGATCAATTTTTTTCATTTTTAAAACTTACAATTAACTAAATGTTAAGAAGTGATACAGTTTATGTACACATGTTTTATTGTTGTTTGGTTTATTATTTTACACGTTTTGATATTATCATCTTCTTTGTAGTGACGTGCCACAACTGTCATGATATTCACGATCCTGGTAGCTGCACCAAAACAACATCTTGTCAGCAGTCTGAGGTAATCTCTTTGATATCAAATGTGGGTGTTTTCTATAATTGGTAATTTTTTTTCCATAGCTTTGGTTTCAGCTCAAAGACTTTCAGTGAAGTTATACAATTTGCTTAGTCGTACATCTCCGGATATCCACAAGAACCGGTTATCCAGCCTTTTGTTTATTGCATGTGGTCGAACTCTCTGAAATATCGAAGTAAAATATGCAAATCAACAACTCAGAAAATTGAATCTCCTGTATTGAAAATACATGTTCGTTTAGTTGCGTACTTATACGTATACGATGGAGTCCTTTTACAAAATCGTATTGGACATTAGCCTGAAAAATCAGGAAAATACACTTGTGATTAGATTTGTTTGCGATCGACATTTAAATTACAAAAAAATAAATGAATAAAAATGTTCCTCTCAGAAATACTGCTCCATATATGTACGTTGGTTTGCCATTCCGACTCTGTGCAGTAACCAGTCAAATCATATGCAATTAATTTTTTAGTATGTTTGCTTACGGGTGTTGAGTACAAAAAAGAGTACCACTGGGTATCGATGCCTGTCATACAGATAACAATATCAATGAATATCAACATTTTTGTAAATGACGTGATCTTGGAAGAAAGATACCTACCCTTAACGAAGTTTTGAAATTTTTTTTTTCAGATACTTCATTGTTCATAATTTTCACCTTATTTTATTAAGATAATCATGAAAGAGAATTTATGCATGTTACATTTAGTGAAAAATAAAACACATGTAGTTACAAATGGAGATAAGCCAGTATTCATTGTAACAGAATGATCTACAGTTATCCAGACAGTATGTTCATATATTCTAGCGCCTAAGACATGTAAGATGTTTTCACTCAGTTCAGCTTCAGTTATAGAAGTCTACGACCTCGATTTTAGTAGTGCTAATTAATAAATATAAACGCCAACGTTGATAAATAACAATTCTACACGTGTTTAATTTGATTTATACAAATAGCTCACGCAAAGTATCGTCATCCAAATACGAACATGAGATTTATATAATCTTCCAATAAAGTAGGCCATGAGTGAGTGTTAAGGGCTTGTATAACGCTTCTGATATTGAAGGAGTGTCAATTCATTAAAAAAAGAAAACGCTCTTTAAGGTTACTTACAGATCTTGTTTTCATATTGGTTCTGAATATATTTTTTCTTGGCATATCAAAGTATGAGAGTAATAGGTATTATTAAAATGTGTGTGCATCTACGCAGAAGTTTAAGTAGTTCACCAAACTCTTTCCATTTTTTGCAACAGATTTTTCGGTTCGTACATGTAACAATCAGTTTACAAGTACTATGAAAATCAAAATGTAAAATATTTTTAACTGTCAAAAACATAATTGCATTACACAATTATGTATTCTATTTGAAAAATATTGTTAAAATTTGCCAATTTTGTACAATCATTGTGTTTTTCTTTTACTAGCACACGTACTTTGTTAAAGATTGAATTTTTCTTGTACGGAAGTCTAAAAAGGTGTTTAAGTTCTGCATCTTTTTTGTAGGCATGTGTAATAACCGCTGCTCTTGATTCTTCCTTTAGAATGACTTATAGACAAGGATGTTTTCCGAAAGAGGTAAGTTTTTTCACCACTAGGCGGCGTTCTTAGATAAAATCTAAACACAACTAATAAAAGCATATAATATACATTACTAGTTCATCATTTCAGATTTTCGATGTGCAGTTTCAGTACTTGGGTATACCCTTTGCAATTGTTACACCTGACTGTCTTTTTTTTTTGTCACGGGTATTATCCATGGGCAAGATAACTCACCTCAACGTTAAATTTGACCTGCCTTTAGAAATTTTCCCATTATCATGATTATATACACGTAATAATATAATTTTTCATTTATTCCCCATTTTTTTATGTCAGAAATATATTACCTCTGACGCTCTGCTCCCAAATTCATATTGTTTAACGAACTTCTGAGCTTGAATACTATTTATTATCTCCAAATATCTAATAATTTATCAATTTACAAAATGGGAGATGAATGTACTAAAAAAATTCCAAAGAAGCAAAATTCAATTCTTGGAGTTTCTATATTGAATGCCATTTTCTCTATATTTCCAGAATTGTAGTCTTTTTGTCCATGACAATGTGTCTGGCCGGCGGAACACGGTTCTTCCCGGGGACTGCTGTTACACCTCCCTCTGTAATAACCGGAAACCGGAAACTGTAAACAGAACATCATGTAAGACGATGCTTGTATTAGATACATTAGACACATTTGACATATTTTCTGTCTCCAACGATTGCAACGTTACAATAATAGAAGGGTCTATAATCAAGTTTTCACCACTTGTATTAACCTATATTTGATACGTTGATAGAAAAGAAGTATGTCAGAGAATGGGAAAGGATTTATTTGCCTAGAATTAGGATTAACTTGTACATCTATAAGCATGATGGATACATTATTCTGTTTATATACCAACATGAACAAAGAAACTATAAAAATTTGATACGTTGATAGAAAGTAAAATTAATATTAAAGTATTTAATAGAATTGAAAAGGATCTATTTGCCTAGAATTTGAATTACATGTACATGTATAAGTATAATGGTTATGCACATGGTTATGTACATATACAACATGAAACTCTCGACAGTTAGTAGACTTTGTTTCTTGTCCTAAAAAAATTGCCATTATCTTAAAATTGATGAGAGATAACTCAATCTGATCCAATGTTTTATAGATCCTACACGATATTTCTTACAGTGACGTGTTATTCCTGTTCGGAAACTACTCACCCTAGGGACTGTAATGTGACCACTCAGTGTCAGCCTCATCAGGTAGCGGAAAACTGGTATATGGGGGCCATAAAACTTAGACGAGTTAATTATGATCTCAGTCTCACTTTTCCACTATTAATCCCTTTAAAATAAGTGAGACTGAAATCAAAGTGAGACTGATATCAAAAGTGAGACCGAGATTCAAAGTGAGACTAGGATCTGAGAAAAAAATTAAACCAAACAACTCTCATATTTATATAACCGATTAATTAAAAAAATATGTAGATATTTATACAAACCCATTAAATATAAATAAATTATATCTACTTTATGAATTAAAAATGAATTTGAGTATCATGAACCAATTGGCAGGGAATGCTCATTCTGCCATGGCACCTGATCCCACCTCTGATGTTTTAGAGGTCCATGTTTGCTCTGCTCCTGATTTTGTTTTGTTTGAGTGGACATTTGAACTTGAATTATGTACATGTTCGTTACAGTATATCCATATAATCATATGTTTATATTAACTTTAATTTCAGCTATGTGTTGTTACCCAGGCCCTGAATGCTGATTTTAAAATGGTGTACAGATTGGGTTGTATGGATCGCCATGTAAGTCATTTTGGCTGAATAAACAAGTTTATGTTTTTGCAGCTGAAAACAATGTTAGGTCTACTTATTATTTCGTCATTTGCTACGATAATTTTGTGCATTAAAATAAATTTACTCCGAAAGGGCACGTTCAATCTATTCAATATCTTAAAATATTATAAATATTATAAATGTTATTGACTGGGTATGAGGACAACATATGATTTGTTGGACGGCAGGCCATTGAGGCCGAGGACAACATTTTCACCTTCAGGTCCAACAAATTATATGTTGCACCAATCCCAGTCTATACATGTAACTGTTTTGTTATACCCTTCAGTGCTCATTTAAGATTTAATCAATACACAATATATTATCAATTACTTTATATGGAAAATTATGATATTAATCAGAAAGAAATAAAACAATAGCTGAGAAAGAACAGAATTAATTATATTTTTATTAAATCACAAAAATTATCACAAAAGAATCCGGGTCATTTCTCCCCAGTACCTGCTCCGCCTAGGTCATTTCCGCCTAGGTCATCTCTCTCCTGGGTCATTTCCCTCCATTACCCAGGTCATTTCTCTCCACAACCTAGGTCATTTCACTCCAACACAAAAATTATAGTGTAATAAGTTTAATTTTATTAAGTTTTGTTAATTACCATGCAGAATTTAACTTTATTTATTTTATTTCATCTTATATATTTATCTATTAATTCACACATGTATTTTTTATTTTATTTATGACATCACACATTTATTGTTTATATTATTCAGAATTTAAACATTAAATTTAATGCATTTATGCATTCACTCATTTATTTGAATAATTATTTTTTTTTAGAATTCTTTTATGATTTAATTCATTCCTTTATTTATTATTTTTTTTGTATTAATTAATCAATTTATACAGAGTCACAAGATTATTTATTCTTATTCATTAATCCTAAGACTTCTTTCTAATGGAAACATAATGGAATGAGAGGGTATCTATAGGCTTAAGCCTGTTGCCCAATCTATTCAGTTTACTGAATAGATATTGTTTAAATCAATGGAATTAGTTGCAGAACTGTAGCTCTCTGAAAAATATGTATTGACAGTGCGGTCTATCCAAAAAAAAAAAAAAAAAAATCGGAGAGCTACAGTTCTGCAGCAATAATGGAATATAGAATAACTTTAAATGCGATAATAGAAATATTATATTTTAATCTTCTTTCTTTAATTAAATTCATTATCAATTAGACTGCAGGTGAATTTGTTTATTGTCCTGTCATCTGTCGTTTATGGTCTTCATCAGGAATAAATAAATAAATGTTAGAATTTGTAATTGCAGTCTTGCGGTTTTATGGTACCCTACAAGGTTTTTTTTTATCATCATGCTGGGTGCATATGTTTATCCGTAAATTGTCGATTTCACAGATTGACAACACAAAAGCTCCTTTAGTCTTTAGACAAAAAATGTCAACTTGTAAAAAGATGTGTTCAGCCAGATTATTATATAAATAAGAATTTGTTCCCACTTTTTATTACATTGAATACAAACTCATTTACATGTATTTGGCAAGATGACTAATCCTAAATGTATGCATTTTCACAATCAAGTCAATTTAAACGTTTTAGATTTAAATTTTTTCCCACAAATTACCCCCCCCCCCTTCCAACATTAACATGCTTATTGTAAGAACGTAAAATTAATGTACTGATGTATAGATTTTTAATTTAAATTGTCCCGATTGTTACAAATATTTTTCTACATTATTTTATCTTGCGTAAATGCAGTGGACCTTCAGATATCCGGACTCCGGATATCCGGGCGCTTTAGTATCTGGACTCTTTTTCATCGGGATGGAATTTTTAAATGTTATATTGTTTTGTTTAACTGGTGATTCAGGTATCCGAACGCTTCACATATCCGGACAAATTGGCTAGGAACCAAAGCGTCCGGATGAATGAGGCTCCACTGTATGTGCATACATGTAAAAACCTCATGAATGTCTCCTTGATAATAAAACGGAAGTATTGAACACGTCGAAAGATCATTCTAGCTAACATGAGATCGAGTCATGTGTCTTTGCCTTTTCAAAAAGCTAGTTCAAGTTTGTGTTATAGTTGGAATGTTTTTGTTTGTACTTAAAATTTATGATCTCTGGTATAACAATGGAAACTGAACGCCATGGATAAAATACGTATAAAAATGAGATGATTTTTTTAAATTGAATCCAAGAATATGTAAACTTTTAGAGACAGTAGATTATTTGACATTGATTATTTGATATTGAGAGTATCAAGATTACTAGTCCTGATTGACAACATTTTATACAGTCCTGATAATTTATTCTCTATTTCATAAAATATTGTGGTAAATACAGCAGATTACATTACATTAAAAAGGGAGGTGGGCTTAAATAATTTTTCTTACATTAGATTCATACATGTAAGAATCGTTTTAATGGTGTAATATACTAGTACTTTAAACATATTAAAATTTACTAGCCATTTCCGGCGAAGTTGTGGAGGTGTCTATTGCCACACCGAGTAAGTTCCTTTTCGATGTCTTATAATTCATTTTTAAGAAATATTTTTTTCCGTTGTTACATTCTTATTAATTCATGTGGTTTGGCTACTTTGTTAATCTTGTATACCTTGAAAATATTGCATTTTAAGGTTTTTTCATATTGATAGCATTTTTACGTCAATATTTTCTTCGCGTTCTTATTATTAAAAATTTTATAATATACAATTATTCAAAATAAATATTGGTAAATATTTACATACTTTTACTTGTGAATCTGGTTTCATAATATATATTTTGAAGTATCCTTTGTTTTCTAAAAATTATCTGTTTTTAGCTGCAGAACTGTAGTTTTCCAAAAAGAAAATGTATTGAACCAGTCTGTCAATATATTTCTTTTCGGAGAGCTACAGTTCTGCAGCTATTATTTTATGTCATGGGTATTTTCTCCCTTTTCTCTCTTAAGATCAAAATTGACATATTATAAAATAAAAATGTTTTATTTTTTTCATTCCAACGTATTTGTATCGCCAAACAAACTCAATCATTTTTTTTTGTATTATTTTTCTAAGATTCGAGTTTGATCAGTATCTATATAATATTCAGCTATTATAGACAAAAATTCATCATCGGCTATGGTAAAAATTAATTATTTTAACAAATTAATTAATTTTAATTGAGTTTAATTTTTTCTTTCAAAATTATTTCCCTTAACAGAGCAGGCATCTACGAAGCAAGAGCTGGACAATGGTATAAAATTTATTTTCATTAATATCAAATATATTTTCCCATAAAATAAAATTCCGACACATTCTCTCGTTCGAATTTTATTGGTCATCAATTGATAATATTAATTTATTTTACAAGACAAAAGTTAATAACACAAGAATGGATATGTAAATAATTACTGTATAAAAGACTAGATTAAAAATGGGGTGAAATGACCCAGGTAGGAGAGAGAAATGACCTACCGTGAAATGACCTACCGTGAAATGGTAGGAGAGAGAAATAACCTGGGAGAGAAAAAATTTTAGAGAGAAATGACCTGACACCATCACAAAACATACACTCTTCCCTTCTTCCTTACTAGTAGCAACAACTCTTACAGCTCTTAACTTCGGCTATTTCCATGTCGTCGATATTGAACGATGATTAATCGTCAACAGTGAAATTGTTAGACCTATGTAATAAACATTTCTTTTGTTGGACTTTTTATTAGTAATAAATATATAGAAAGTTATTTATAAGGGTATAACAAAAGAAGTTGCAAAGTGTACATGTATGAAGAAGTATAGTTTTATATACAGGGAATTATCTTTTTCTAAAAATAATTATAATGATCTGACCAAAAGTTTTTTAACAGTTATTTGTTTAATTTACTTTCTTTACTCAAACGACAAACAATTTTTACTGTACGTACATGTACATATGATACATGAAATGTATGGAAAACTTTTGTACCGCAGCAATGTGACGCATTTCGTCATGATGGTCTTGGAAACCAGCGCTCTATTGCTGCTAGAGGAGACTGCTGTGAGCATGATAGATGTAATTCCTTGACACCTGAAGAAACCAAATCTCCTACATTTAGTGAGTAAATTGAAACTTTTCTATATAAACACCTACAGAAAAATAAATCCTACTGTAAGTATATAAAATAAAGCTATATATTCACCTGTAGAAATTAAATTTAACAGATCACATATTCAACTCCATTCGAAAAAGCACATTCACATATATTCCAAATTATCATTATTATTAAAATTATTAAGATTCATGTAAAGACAAATGCATAATACAAATGTGTTAAAAATTCAGGATTAATTCGCTCCCACATACATGGGTTAGAATTTCAATTTTCTTTTAACATTACATGTACATGCACTTATTTCTTTAAATCATTTTGTAAGCTAAATCTCATTATTAAGAAGAATGTACTATAATAAAGCAAATCTTAATGTAAAATATGAAGATAAAGAACAGTGATTGAATGCTAAAAATCTATTTTAAAAAGAAGAAAAACATGTGAATATGGGAAAAAATCAGATCCCTAGTAAAACTTACATTATTTTCATGTCCTTCAATTTAATTCTCAAATTGACCAGTGCATATGAACAAAAAAGCATACATGTTAATGTAGAGAAAAGATAAAGTGGATGGTATCTGTACATGTATGTAGCTGTTCTTCTAGACCATGCTAATGCTGATAATCTTAGAGACTCTTTTAAATTAATATATATATAGTCAGAAAATTGTTATTGATTTAAAAACAAGCGATAAAAATGATAGATCCGTATTGAGGCACAGTATGCTGTTTGAATTATCCCAATTATGCTTGCAATGTGCTTGTTAAACAATCCCGGTGTAAACTATATTCTTTTTACAGATTCCGAAGACTGTGTTGATGTGGACAGCCATGCTTGTCACGCTTTGAGAAAAGTCAATCACACTGATCGCTGTCTGGACGATCACTTCGCCAACATATTTTGTCCTAAGACCTGTCATATATGTAGTAGGTTAATTATAAAACATTTATTTATTCAGTAATGTGGATCAGAAAATTATTTGAAATATACAGTGAAAATTGTCTTATCCAAGACTTGTGTAATCCGTCAAACTGTAAATTCTTACGTGAAATTTCTTTCCTATTTTGATAAATTTAAGTGTTATTTTACAATTTATAATCCACAATCCTGTCTATTTTGCCACAGAATTCGTCTCTCGGTGCATGTATGATAACACTTGTCTCACTGTAATTAAAGAAATTTCCACTAGAATGATTTTTTTCAATGCTAATAGCAGCTACTTCTCCTGATAAAAGGTGGCATCATATCTTCATTGCATAATTCAACGAGATTCTGCGAGATTTTTATCATATGGAATATAAAGAAATATGTAACATATCCTAATTCAATGAATTTTTTTTTTTGTAATTTTGAATATATATTTATAGTATACACAATTTAAAGTTTTTGTTAGGACAATGAAGTTTTCTTTCGAACAAGATTGTATAATGCGGATTGCCTAATCTGTTAACATGTATTGGGATACATATTTCTACTTATTTAAGCCTCTTTTTTCCAGTTCACTGCTACAAATGTTTCCTTTCATCAAGCGTCCATGACGACAGTCTCTGTCCCCGGAACAATAACACAGTGTGTACAAGAGATTCACAGGTAACCATTTATTTAACTATTCATTTCTGAGTTTTCTTTGAATTGATAGTACCAATCAAAGGCATTTGTGAGTTATTTTATACCATGGCTATGTTCAACAGAGAACAATAACTTTATGACTTTCATTTATTAGCATAAAGTCATAAACGTACACTTATTTGAATACATTATAGTAAATACATGCACAATGATATTCATCTAACAAACATATAAACATGACAAGAAACCATTGATGTAACCATTAATTGTCACCCGGGAAATAAATAAAGTAAACATAGAAAATGAGTCTCAAATCGCTTCGATTTAAGTGAAAAAGACATGTGTGTAAATGATGGAGACGATAGTTGAGAATATTTTGAAAACTTATGATCGGATGAAAATCGAACAGAAACGACACCCTTTCAATCTTTCTCAATATATTCCTCAATAAAATGTTGGCTGCATAAAATACAAATTGAAGCCAGACAAATGCATCACCTATTTTCAAAAATGTATATCACTTTAAGAATAGACATTGTAAACCTCGAACTGTGTTAAGCATGTTTTTACACGATAAGTAAAATTCGATGCTCTAAAATAAGGGAACTGTCGTTTTTTCGATAATAAATGATAAGCAACTTTATCTATTAAATATGAAAAACATGTATATTTTTAAAGATTCACTCTATGGAAGTAAATATATTTGTATTTCGTTATTTATAAAGGGAAAGAACATTCTGATTAACAATGTTTTTAATGTTTCGAAAACCTTTAATTTTGAATATCTTCACATACCTCAATCCCGATATACCAACACTTAAACTTATTTGTATAGAGCAGCCCGGTCCTCCGGTCTGCAATGATTACTTCACAGTTTAATCGAACATACCTCATTTTTAAAGGATGTATTAAGACAAAAGATCTCAATTACATTTTTTACAGATATTGAAAAACTTTTAAGGTGAAATAATACATTGACACAATTTTTGAGAGATATTCAGATTGATTAGAAAAAATAGAAAAATTAATGACCTAAATAAATGGCTTTCATATATAATTGCTAGTCATGTGGTGTGGAAATATTTAATGGAATTTCAATGATGACTTGCTTCAACGACACAGTGAGTACCCTTAATAGTTTCAAAAATATTTCTGATAATTATATATTTGATATTGACACTCACCTAACATTTGATTTATTGAAATCTATAAACCACAATAGTATATAATCAAATTCATTTGTAATTTGATTTAGGATTTTTTTCCCTAAATTTTATTTCAAAAATTTGATATATTTCATCAGTTTTGTACAGATGCCGACGGTGTTCACAAACGGTGTTGTAAACATAATTTCTGTAATACTATTGGATCACTTACCACTACAACAACGACAAAAATGACGGCACCTACAACAGCGACACAAATGACGGCACCTACGACTACCACACAAATGACGTCACCTTCGAGCACAATGACGTCAACAAGAGAACTGACGTCAGCAATTACGAAGAAAACAACGAGTTCAACAACAGGTGCGCTTACATGATAACTGCAAGTGACAATTCATTTTACACAATCTCCGCCAAGATTTAAAAAATATGCTTTTAATTTTCAATGGTCGCGTGGCACGTTATGTACACATGCACACTGCTCTTTTTAAAGCTGTTAAAATAGAATCTAGATCTACTTTGTAAAGAAATCGTTTTTAGAAAGAAATGAATATTAAATATATATGATATATATAAATGGATCGATAAATAAATAAAGTGCCAGGCCACAGCATGATACGCCAATCAAAAAAAAAAAAATACAATTTTCTTGAACAGTTTAGCATGCAAGAAAATCACATCAACATTGATTCTAAGATTTCCTTGATTTTTCCATTCCTTCAAATATTTATCCATTCCCTGTGTCATGTAGGCATTAATTATAATAAAAATACATCATTAATAAATTTCTATGTTGGTTGTGTTAGACCCTGTTAAATGCCCATATTAAACAATATCAAATTAGTCTTAACACCTTAATCTATACCAAATTAATTTTGAAAAGAAAAGGCTGACCATCAAAAACATATGCTATAAACTGACCAGCACTTCTTCTGTCTAATCCCCAAAGGATACAGATAAGACTGCTTGATCAGAGTGATTGAGACAGCTAGCTTTCCTACATTGAACTCATTAATTAATCTTTAACTGAATGTTTGTCTGCTCATTACTACCAAGAGATGAATGGGTGTGCACTATCTACCATAATTTTTTTCCTAAAACATATAAAATATTCAAAGATTTTTTTTTTGGGTTGAGATTTAATGTCCAACAGGTTTTAATATGTAATTCATATGGACATGCTGATTCCACCCCACCCCACCCCATAAAATCAGTTTTTAAATTGATAATATTATATAAAATCAGATTAGTCTATTACGCAATATCAAATTAGTTTTAATTACTTTTCATCATATTTTAAAACTTAGGCTAGCCAACAAGAGCTATTTTTAATCAAACAGGCTTACCCATCTGCCCAATACCCCAGGGATATAGATAACACCAATGCTCTATCAGTTAGATCCTCACACTCAAAACTCATTAATTTCTCTCTAATCTGACATGCAATTTTCTGTTATCAAAATTCTTCTTGACCAGTGCTTGATAATTACACTCAAGGGAGAGGTAGGATTTCTCTAACATACATTATATTTGTTATGCATTGCTGTCAAGTATATGCTTAAAAAATAAGTACATGTATTTTCTTGATTTAACGCTTTTTTTTAATAAGGACAGTGCAATACTCTTACATTATTTGGGATGCTTAAATGAATAGTAAAAAAACACATTTTTTTTTAATTTCACTTAAATTAAAGGTCACAGTGACCTTGATATAGGTTGCGACACACATTCTACCTAAGATGCATAAACTGGCCAAGTTTGATGATTGTAAGTCTTATAGTTTTCTAGTTATGGGCCGGAAAGGATTTTTCCATATTTGACTATAACTTCTTAATAAAAGGTCAGAGCGACCTACTTTTTGTGCGCAACACACCTTCTACCAAAGATGCATCAGATGACAAAGTTTGATAATCCTAGGACTAATAGTATTAAAGTTATTAGCCGGAAACGAAAAGCTAACAGACAGACGGACTGACGGACGGACACGAAGCCTAAAACATAATACGTCCCGTCTTAAGACAGGTGTATAAAAGAAACTCGCATAAATATCAAGTGTCAGCTCAGAGAAAAAGTTGTCGGCCCTCAAAGTCCTTTTATATGTTTAGCAGCATCCTAAAATGCATAGACCAACTACATGTACATGTATGGACAAAAATGTTTCACAATTACTTAAATATTTTTCGAACATACTTTCACTTTGGAAAATTCAGCCAGTTTTGCATTATCTGTGTATTTCACCTTAATCGAGAAATTTCTTAATAAGTTAATTGGTAATTAAGATTTTTTAATATGGTGTCCAAGTGCAGTTTACAGAATGCTTGACATAGTTTGGATAATTTTCATGTTTAAATTAAAAATCTTTCATTAACTCTTACAGCACGGACTACCGGATTCATAACAATTCCTCACAACCAGGCAACAACAACAGCATTCCATTGGGCCACACTAGGAACGCCCCCTCACTCCACAAAATGGGTCACTCTGCCATGGTCAGGACATGGAGCGAGTCCCCCCTCAATAAAATAAATCAATGATGATCTTTCTTTTGATGTCTTAAATATTGAAATTGGAATACATTCCCTACATGTAGGGAGAGAGACGGATGGACGACTCATAACTTGCTGTCTTAAACCGGTAGAGCTTTAAAAAACCACGTAACATTCTTAAACATATGAAATAATTTTCCACTTCCAAAACAATTTTGTTCCTTGTAATTATTATAGATCATTCATCTACTCTTATCAATTAATATAAGCATTCTATACAACAGGGGATGCTACTGAATGGAGGATCAGTCTAGTCAAATTAAAATAAGAATCCTGTGATCCTAAAATAATTGTGAAAAAAGGAGGACAGAAGTCTAGTCTTTACATTTACGCAGTTTAATTTCAAGGGTAACTTTCAAACAAATTAATTCAAAATACCGCTAACGTGGCAGTAAAGCTGTATTTTATTACAATTCCGAAAACTACAAAACATCACATTTAAAGCACATGAAATACATAGGAAATGAAACTAACTATAATCTATCACATGCTTTCAAATTTTTCCCATTGCTGGTTCACTAAAATTTTCAAATTTTAAAAGATTCCAATCTTTCTGGGAGTTTGCGTATACCACTCTCCATCTTATTTTTTTAAAAAAGAATAATTATACCTAAACAACATTCTACAGTTCAAAAACATAACTTTTTCAAAATTGGATACATTGCAATAAAAATCAAACCTAGTTCAAAGTACTTTTAACAAAAAGTTCCGTAAAATAACAGGCAACTAACTTCAAACATTTGAAAATTCTTTGCGATCTGCTTGTAAGTTTAAGATAATCAACATAAAATTCTACACAACATTTGTTCATTCCATCAAAAAAACAATAAGCTAATACATCAGAAAAAAGGAAAGACATCTAACCAAAATAAACGTTTGTCTGTTCGTTTGAAATCAAATGTGCATTAAACAATACAAAATAGGAGCAGAGCAGACAAGGACCTCCAAATCATCAGAGATGGGATAAGGTGCCATGAAGGAATGAGCATCCCCTGCCAACCGGTCACACCCGCCGTGTGATCCATGTCATGTTCGGGTAAAAACCAGAAAAATCCCTCATCAATTCAGAGTTTAAATAATGAACTTACAATTAGTATGAAAACGTCAGTCAGCATTTTCGTGAAGTTGATGATTGTAAAGTCATCATGTTTATCATATAGCTTGGTTATTAGATTACTATTAACGCCCTTTTCAAGTAAAATATCCAAATATGAAACAGATGTATCTCTGTAGTATCTTTTATCTCAAGTAATTAAAATGTTGACAGCAATAATTTGGAAAAAATAAGAAGGATGATCTAATTTTAATGAATGAAAGAAAATTGTGACAATTTTATCTGATAAAAATATAAATATTAGGTGTAACAGATTATTCCTGTAACCGTATAAAAGTGCTGTTTCTACTAGAGAAATATTTTAGAACTGCAATATGTAAATCAATTCCCGAGATTCATGAAATCATCATTTAGAAACCGATGTCGTGAAAGAAGACAGTTTTTCGAAACAAAAATTCCCCAGACAAATTTTAATTTTTCAGCTTTTCAAATCGTCTTTTTCATAATCAAATTACAACATAATTGTATAGCATATATAATTACTTTCAAGTTGACTTTGGCACATTTTTGGTAGGGCACTTATTTAACATGAACGCCTTACACTTTGCAATATTACAGTACTTACAAAGAGTTATACATTCAAGTACTAACTCACCAATCTGTATGATCCAACATCAAGACATATAAAATTCCTTACATGTTATTTATGCATACAAACAGAACTCAAGTCTTTAAAATTTTTGCACATAGTTCATAAAGTCACATTTTTCGTTTAATTGTAAATGCTTTGTGTGAATATCGTCCGAATCAGTCCAGTCGCTTTTGGAGTAACCACAATTAAAACATGATGTTGCTCGATCATAACCTACAAAAAGAAAAAAAATTGAGAATGTTTTATATCTTTCAGCAAAGTTTATCTGTAAAACTTCACCAATCCTTAAATTTACATTTGATCATTTTGTCAGCTGTTGCTAGTTGGGAAACAAATGCTAGAACAAAAGTCACATACCTTCATAAAAGAACCCATCTTTTGCAAATTCTCCAGCTCTCTTCTTCATACTACTATCACAGCCATAAAAAGATTTTTCTCTAGTTGCGAAATTCTTGTACGCTGGATATTTATTGGAACTAGTTGAAAAGGCATCTAGTATACTTTCCAGGTTCTCTCCTTTCCCTTTAATGTGAAAGTAAGAAAATATGAGCTACTGTCTAATAACACAGAAAGAAAACGTCAATCCTCTAATTCTAATATTTTATGAAAATAATATGCTCATTGTTTCTTACAATATTTAATATAATCTGCCCACTAATTGCTGAGCAATCCGCCCCCCCCCCCCCCCCCAAAAAAAAAAAAAAAAATTAGAGATATTTCTTATCATACTCTTTCGGAAAACATTGACCCCCTGTTGCTGCCCTGCCCTATTCCAAATGATAACAAGAAAACATTGATGTAACCATCAATTGTCGCCCGGGAAGTATATAAAGTAAACAATGGAAATAAGTCTTGATCATCAAACTACTTAAATATGTGTGAGGAGTCATGCGTCTAATTGATGGAGACGATAGTGGCGAATACTGTATTTTGAAAACTCATAATCGGATAAAAAATCAAACAAAAAAGGTACTATTTTAAAACTTGATCAATTCCTCAATTAAATGTTTGCTGCATAAAAGATAAATTGAAGTTAGACACATGCATCAACTATATTCAAAAATATATTCTAATTTTCAATTTTCGAATATAAAACGCGAACTGTGCAGAGTACGTTTATATGCGAGAAGTAAAATTCGATGTTCTAAAAAAGGGACCTGTCATTTTTTCCATAGTAAATGATAAGCAACTATATATTTTAAATATGAAAAACATATATATATTTACAGATTCACTTTATGGAAGTAAATATATTATGTATCTCCTGATTTATAAAGGAAAGAACAATCTGATTAACAATCATTTCAATGTTAAGAAAACCTTAAATTCTGAATAACTACTCCCGACCCAATCCCCATACACCAACACTTAAACTTGTATGTATAGAGTAGCCCGGTCCTCCGGGCTGCAATGATTGGAACATTGAATGTACGCTTTCTGTGAGTACATCTATTAATTTTAAAATATAATTAATCTTGTCGCTGATATTCCTATATATCCCTATGCAGAACTTCGTGACCCCCTGTTATGGCCCGTCCTGTGGTGTCATACTATGTACAAATTTGTATCTTCAGAATGTATTGATGCTCTCACAAACGTTTCAACTTTTCTTGTTCATTGGTTCCTCATCAGATTTTTAAAAGATACCTATGGATTTTCTTGAATTCTGCATTAACTCCCCTTAAAAGAAAACATTGGGTTTTCAGTTTGGTTGAAAATAGCCCTGTGTTTCTGAAAAGGATATAAAAAATGTCAAAATTTAATTGACAATACAGGATAGACAAACGCCTGATACTCTTCAACCAAAAAGGGTCACTTGAGCATATGACACAGCTGAGGTAATTAAAGCAATTGCCTCGTAAATGGTGTGAAAAACAATTAGTGTATCAAATAACCAATTACATTTTCTCCTCCTGCAAAGAGATGGAGCTTAAGTCGTCTCATCGTTGTCAACAACAATTTAAAGTGCCTAATGTTATTAATTTCTATACCAATGAGAATCTATTTGCCATTTGACAGGCGGTAAACATGTAGCGCCGAGAATGCCACGCCTTATTGAAAGCCCAAACTAAGCTTTAAATGGTTCTATGTCTGACAATTCACACATAGCTATGTCAACCTCTCTGAATGGGCAAAATCTGTCTGAATTTCCCCCCACTCTCCACCACATCAAACGCCCCTGTTACTCATCTAGTAGCTATAGGTGCGGAAAATATAAGACGAATAGCTGCTGCTGTAAAATTTTCAATCCAAGATGAAATAGCGGACCTCGTTCATTAGGAAGCATCAAAAGCAGTCCAGCCTCTGCATACCAGAATCACCAAGCTCATTGCAATGAACAACGATCTTCATCTGCAGCTGGACGAGCTATAACAGTACAGGAGAAGACCGCTAGTTCAAATATCTGGAATCCCTGAATATCAGGAAGGAAACACAACAGACCTCATCCTAGACATTGCTTCTAAGGCTGATATTCCTCTCAAGTCTGACGACATTATAAACTCTCACCGACTAGCTAGGGGCACCAACCAACAAACAAGAGGCCCAGGGGCCACAGCGCTCACCTGAGCACATTAGGCTTGAATTTACTCCCCCCAGGCGTTCATTATTTGAACAAACTAGAATCTACACTACCTGAGGATGATTCCATATAAATATCACTAATCATAGCTTTGAAGTACTTGAAAAGAAAATTTTAAAAGGATTCCCTAAATATCCCTATGTAAAACTTGGGTCGGCCATTTTGGCCCCACCCTTGCCCCGCGGGGCATGATTTGAACAAACTTGAATCTACACTACCTGAGGATGATTCCACATGAGTTTCATCTTTCCTGGCCCAGTGGTTCTGGAGAAGAAGATTTTTAAAGATTTTAACTACATATTCCTATGTAAAACTTGGGTCGGCCATTTTGGCCTCACTCTTGCCCCGGGGGGCATGATTTGAACAAACTTGAATTTGCACTACCTGAGGATGATTCCACATGAGTTTCATCTTTCCTGGCCCAGTGGTTCTGGAGAAGAAGATTTTTAAAGATTTTTCCTATATATTCCTATGTAAAACTTTGGTCGGCCATTTTGGCCCCATTCTTGCCCCTGGGGTCATGATTTGAACAAACTTGAATCTACACTACCTGAGGAAGATTCCACATGAGTTTCATCTTTCCTGGCCCAGTGGTTCTCGAGAAGAAGATTTTTAAAGATTTTTCTTATATATTCCTATGTAAAACTTGGGTCGGCCATTTTGGCCCCACCCTTGCCCCGGGGGTCATGATTTGAAAAAACTTGAATCTACATTACGTGAGGATGCTTCCACATGAGTTTCATTTTTCCTGGCCTAGTGGTTCTGGAGAAGAAGATTTTTAAAGATTTTTCTTATATATTCCTATGTAAAACTTGGGTCGGCCATTTTGGCCCCACCCTTGCCCCGGGGGGCATGATTTGAACAAACTTGAATCTTCACTACCTGAAGATGATTCCACATGAGTGTCATCTTTCCTGGCCCAGTGGTTCTGGAGAAGAAGATTTTTAAAGATTTTTCTTATATATTCCTATGTAAAACTTGGGTCGGCCATTTAGGCCCCACCCTTGCCCCGGGGGGCATGATTTGAACAAACTTGAATTTGCACTACCTGAGGATGATTCCACATGAGTTTCATCTTTGCTGGCCCAGTGGTTCTGGAGAAGAAGATTTTTAAAGATTTTTCCTATATATTCCTATGTAAAACTTGGGTCGGCCATTTTGGCCCCACCCTTGCCCCGAGGGTCATGATTTAAATAACTTGAATCTACACTACCTGAGGATGCTTTCACACGAGTTTCATCTCTCCTGGCCCAGCGGTTCTGGAGAAGAAGATTTTTTAAAAATGCCATTAATTTTTAACAAATTCATGATTATCTCCCCTTGGAAAAGGGCGTGGCCCTTCATTTGAACAAACTTGAATCCCCTTCACCTAAGGATACTTTGTGCCAAGGTTGGTTGGAATTGGCCCAGTGGTTCTTGAGAAGAAGATGAAAATGTTAAAAGTTTACGACGGCGACGACAACGACAACAACAACGACAGACAACGGACAAATTTTGATCAGAAAAGCTCACTTGAGCCTTCGGCTCAGGTGAGCTAAAAACAGGGAAGACCTAGGCAGATCATCGCACGATTACGTTCAGTCGACCTCAAATTTAGGCTTGTTAAAAGTCACAAAAGCCTAAATAAAAATCAAGAGACAAAACATGTATCAATCAACGAAGTCCTGGCCTAACCAAGAGATAAATTACTTTTCATGTGTTGACAGCTTTGTCGCAGTCATTTCATTCACCAAGCTTAAAATTGGTCATCAATTCGCATAATTCGTATACGGGAAAACGAGCAAAATTTCACTCAATCTTACAAGAGAGTGACCTTTGTCCTTTTGGTAACATCCCCGATGTGATCTTTCGAAGGATTTTGATAGAGTTTGGCACAACGGGCTTCTTTTTAAATTGCAAACTTTTGGTATATCTGGTGATATTCTCCAATGGTTTTCCAGTTATATATGTTAAAGGTCACCAAAAGTTATGTACAAAGATTTGTTATCATAAAAAAAGGATATTTTTGCAGGTGTACCTCAGGGTTCAGTTTTAGGACCACTGTTATTTCTCATTTACATAAATGATGTTGCTAAAAATATGATTTCAATGTGTAGATTGTTTTCGGATAATAATTCCCTCCAACAATCATCATACAATATATTGGATATAAAATACAAATTGAATATATATTGGAAATTCAGTCAAATAATAGGCTTCTTAAATTCAATCCATCTAAAACTAAGGTAGTTTATTGCAGAAAGAAAAAAAATTCTGCTATGCCAAAGTTATTTTCAAAGGTGAAACACCTGAGTGCACGTGCGTTCCAGTCCGTCGTCATTTAGGTTTACTATTGTCGCAAAATCTTAGTTGGTCGGAATACTATATTGATGGAGTTGTAAACAGTGCCAATAAAAACTAGGCCTTTTAAAGAAAATAAAGTTCAAAATGGGTATGAACCAGAAGTCTCTGTCGAGACTGAAGCTCTACTGTTTTTTACTTTTAGCAAAGGAAGGGAAAAGTAGCAGTTGGAAATTCAAACTTTACAACAGCAATAAATAGAATAATGATCCTTGATTAAGTCTCTTTATGTTCTAAGTGTAGTCTACTTGCATGCCACATTATATTATAATTACACTAAAACTGTATTTGTGGTAGCATTTTGCTAGTATTTTACAGATTTTTTTCTATCTTTAGTAACCAAGGCAATGATGTTCATCGAAATCAAAAAATGATAAATAGAATTGTGTATCTTAGTGTAGTCTACTTCTGTGCCAAATTATATTTAGGCGCGGATCCAGAAATTTATTCCAAGGGGGATCCACCCAAATAAAAAAAAATCCAATCCCAGAAATTTTTTGACAAGCAAAATAAACCCCCATAAACTCGCCCAAACGTGAAAAACCTACTTCGGGGGTGGGGGGTGGGGTTCTATGTCTTCTAATGCCTCAAATCCTTACAT